TTTGGTGGGCTACACAGTCAAATAAACACAATTGCTCTCCTTGGGGAACCGGCTTTCCTTGAACTCACTCCAAAAAAAGTGATAAAGTAAAGACCCTCACAGCCAAGTTTCTGAGAAACCGCTGGTTCTGCTAGACCATCAAGTTTCAGTGGCCGAAGCACTCCTGGAACACCTGAACTCTTCAGGTATGTCCTTATGCCCCTGGACATGCTGTTATCTGGAGCACTGAGTGCCTCAGGGAGTTGTTATCACTGTGTTTTCTGACCTTTCCCCATCTTCTCATCAACAAACACTAAGAAAAACTATGAGGGAAAGTATTTTTCTGTACCTATTTCTCTACATGTATTTATTTTTGTGTTTTAAAACAACAAATTCTGTTTCCAGTGGCGTTTACATGAATTTCACTTTTTTCCTTGTCAGAAAAGAAAAATAAGAAAAAAAAAGTCACACTTAGATGTGGAAGGGGGAAGATCATAACTAATGCCCCATCAACTTCCTCCAGGTGCAGCCCGCATCCCAAAGAGCTAACTCCAAAGAGTTAGAGGAGCCAGAGCTAAACCCCCAAATTGGACACTTGAAAGCAAAATAGATGACATATGAAAGCTTTAACTGAAATCATTCTTCTTTTTTTTCAAAGAAAGAAAAGTTTATTTTAAAGTAAATTAAAGATAGAAAGAGAAGGGAGAGCGAAGATTCACCTCCCCAAGGTGGGAGGGGAGACCAAAGCCAGGAAGCATGGCGACAGCCTGAGATCATTTTTTAACCCCTCTTCCTGAGTAAAGACAAATGTGACAGAGTATTAACACGAATCTAGGTGAGAGTGAGGGGTACTCATTGTGTTCTTTAACTGTTTCTCAAAAAGAGCAAGTGGGGAAGAGAATCAGCCCTCTCCCAGTAATGCTCCCTTCTCTCATAAACTGTCTCACACGTACCATTCTTTTTTTTTTTTAATTTTCTTTGAAAGATGTAGGGTACAAGTAAGGATTAGATACACAAGTAATGTATGTGTAGGTGAAGTTTGGGCCCTCCACTGGTCCTCACGTCCCCTGTGTTAGGGTCACGTTCTCTTTGTGTTGTTAACACTTGTCATTCTTAAAACTCTTATAGTTCATTGTTTTAATTTGGGATGACTTGTTCCACAATTATCAAGAGTTGAATCTCTATTCTAATTAATTTGCCAGTGATTACTGGATAACTTTCAATGAGAAATGCTTTTTTAGAATGGAAACCGTGTATACTCTTTTAAAAATAAAAACCGTGTATACTCTTTTAAAAATAAAAATGGGGAATTTGCCTAACTATAGTCATGGAAAAAATTATGAATATTTTTACTTTTAATTAATTTATTTTATTTATTCATTTTTAAAAAATATATAGCTTTATAGATCAAGAAATGGGTTTTGTGGAGTCTATAAAGCCTAACACCAAGATTTGGAAGGTAAAGTCCTTAATGTATATATCCCTGAGTTCAGTGGATACAGCATTTGATGTATGAACAGGAAGTTTGTAAACCCAGGCCTGTCTTATGTTTTGCTGCACAATCTTTTAGACAAAAATAACTTCTCTTTCACCGAATGTCAGTTTCTAACTCAAATGAGAGCTTAGACTGGAGGACTTTAAACCATTTATTATGCTCTATGAAGCATCCATGCTGCTGTCGTGGCCTCATTTTATAGGTCCAGCCTCTGAGTTGATATCAACTAAGGTGGTATAGAGAAGATACTGACGAGAAGCTGTGTTTCATTATCTACTAATGAGACCAAGGCTAAAACCTTAACCCTATTGCCTCAAAAATGTGTAACACTGATCCTAAGAGAAACAACATGCGATTGCACAATTAACAACTCTAGCTGTCAGCAAGTCGAAGAAAACACCATTCCGTGTGAAGGCGAACACAGCGTAATGCTGTATTTGACCATTGACCATGCGGTGGGTCTTCACGGGCTCTTGGTGGGAATTCTCTGCCTCCTTCCTGGCCACCCTGGGTTGGATGAGGCTAGCAGCTGCAAGCGCCCCCACCCTCTGACTGAGGGGTGCTCCCAAACAGTGGGACTTTAGGAACAGAAATGACATCATAGATTTTGTTTACTGTGGTTTATCTTTGCCATGACCTGAGTCTGTCACTTGGACTTGCCACAAAGTGAAGAGTGCTGACTTTGGAGTTGGAACAATATGGATTCCAATACTCCCAGTTCTTTCATCTGTCAGTATTGTCAGTATTGTGATCTTGGGCCAGTGACTTAACCTTTCTTGAATTCCCTCTTTCTCCTCTGTAATATAGAGGTAATAGTAACATGAACGTCAAAGGACACTTATGAGATCAGGACGGGATAATACATTCAAAGTATTGAGCTTGGACCTGACCTATAGTAACCTTGAGTAGATGTATCCATTAATATCTCTTCTAGGCCTATTTGGTCTTACAACAGGTTACCATAATTTTGTTTTTATCTTAAGCATTTAAAAAAGTAAAGAGCTCTTCAATGAAATCAATTAATCCTCACTAAGTAAGGTCTAAGTTAATGTTGTTTTAGATAAAATTATATCCACAGCTTTCAAAATGTACTCCTCACATACTTTAAAAAAGATATTTCATATGCCAGTACATATTTTTAAAACAACGTTTATTAGAAAAAAGAAGGGGGGGAAGAAAAGGAGACATGCCAGAGTTGGCATGGGTGACAGAAACCACCCAGTACATTTTTTTAGTTTACATAGTTATAATAAAACCACCCTTTGGATATAGCCTTTGGATTGCTATATAACAATGATTGGCAAACATTTTCTGTAAAGAACCAGATTTTAGATTTTTTTTTAGATTTTGCGGCTACATGATCTCAATATCAACGTTTCAGCTCTGCAGTTGAATTGCAAGAGTAACCACAGGCAATAATGCAAACAAATGGGTGTTCTGTGTCCCATTAAAACCTTACTCATGGATGTGGAAATCTGAATTTCATATACTTCTCACAGGTCAGGAAATAGTCTTCTCCTTTAATTTTTTTCAATCATTTAAAAATGTAAAAACTATTCTTAACTTTTAGACTGTTGAAAGGAGACTTTTGGTCCATGGGCTATTAATTGCCAACCCTTGTTATACAAGAATAAAGATATGGAATGATGTGTAGATACATTCAAAAAGACATAAAATCTATTAGGAAGCCACATTAGAAATTTGGTTTATAAAAACTTGCTACAAAACAGAACTTTGTTAATCTTGAACCACATCTAAATGACTTTAATTTTCTTAATATGAAAAATAACCTAGTTAAGAGACAGAAATACTTTTTTTTTTTTTGAGTTATGATCTCATGCTGTCATCCAGGCTGGTGTGCAGTGACATGATCATGGTCTCATAGCCTCAACCTCCTGGGCTCAGAAGATCCTTCTGCCTTGGCCTCCCGCATAGCTGGGACAATGGGCGCACACCGCCATGCGCAGCCAATTTTTAAAATATTTTTGTAGAGAGGAGAGCTGGCTATGTTGCCTAGGCTGGTCTCAAACTCCTGGGCTCAAGCAATCCTCCTGCCTCGGCCTCCCAAAGATTATGGGTATGAGTCACTGCACTCGGCCCAAGATTTGAAATTTTAAATAAATTTTATGTTGTAGGAGGGAGATTTTTTAGTAAATTATTACTTTGAATACATTTGAAAATATGAATATTTTGAATGAATCCTGAATAAAATGGTTGTTTTTTACTTATCAGTAGGTAAATGTTTTAAACATTCTGAATACCACAAAATATAAAACATATACATTCATAATTTTAATTCTGAAAGATGAATCACTGAAAAATTATCAAATGTTAGAATTTTTAAAATATCTATGGTACAAGAAAAAAGGTAAATATAATTTACAAATAAATACAATCAGAAATATCAGTTGAATTGTTGTAACTGATAAGTCACTCATACTTGAAAATATTTTATCGAAGCATTGTTGTACACAGTATTTAAACATACATATAGTCTTAACCTATTTTTTCCTTCAGCAAAAAGTCATTTAGAGATAAAAAGAATTTAAATAAAACATAACGTCAAACTGCACTTAATGAACTCTACATGTTTCATAACCAAAGCTGTGGTCATTCCCATCCAGTTTTAATTTTAAAGTGTATCACATAAAAACTACATTCTTTTCCCTGATGCATATTTAGTAATGACGGAAAAACTGCCCTTTTAATCTCTGAAAAAAGACTCTTCTCATTAATAAGGAATTGAACAAAAATATAGAGAAGATTGTTGAAATGTGACATAGCATTTCCAGCAACAATAAATTAAAGCATAAAGGGAAAATATTAAAACCACCTTTAGTGTTTTCAGGACATTCAGATACTCATTTTAAGAGCCCTGGATACCAGATATAGAGAAAGCTGAAAGGTATTTCCTTTTTACTAAAGGGCATGACAAAATCCTTTAAAATATCCTTTATGATACATGATCATTCGTGAAGAACCCCACCATAGAGTCAAAAAATAATGCAGTTTCACTAAAACGTGAACTTGAACATTTTTCATAATTGTTGGGTGGTTTTTATAAAAATAAAGTCGTTTCCTTAGGAAAAATTAATCTGCCAATTAGAATCCATATCTTTTTTTAGAGGCAGGATCTCCCTCTTGCCCAGGCTGGAGTGCAATGGAGTGATCATAGCTCGCTACAGCTTCGACCTCCTAGGCTCCAGTGGTCCCCGTGCCGACACCTCCTGAGTAGCTGGCACTAAGGCATCTGCCACCACACCCGAATGGAATATGTATCTTTATTTTGAAAAACAAATTGAGATGTCTTCCTCTGAAAATAATAAAGTTCAGTCCCTGGCTATATGAACATTCATTGACTTATACAAGTGAAAATAAATTATTATACTCTTAGGAACTAGTACTTTTCACTAGCACAATCTGAGACAGCATCTGGAAGCTGTCACCAAAATGTTGTGTCACAAGCAAGTGTCGGTGAACAGAATTGGACTTGCTGAATCATTTCTACCACCACTCTATGCATCTGTCCAAAGGGACTGTTTAGTGTTGGCATCCTGCAGTCCTGTAATGTCATCTAATGTCCCCTGTTTCCAACCATGTATTCACAAATGTTTGAATTTATATTTAAACTCGATATCATTTAATGGTGGCAAAATGCCCAAGCCTGCACGGGACTGGTCTAGAGGTGGACATTTAGCATGGCTCTCTACAAGTTCCAGTTCAAAATAGGAAAGCATCAGAATCAAAAATTGCTTGATTTCGTGCACAGCGAATAATCTTCCAGGACATATTGTAGCTCCTGATCCAAAGGGCATATAGTAATATTTTAACTTGAGTCCATTACTATAGAAGGTGGTCTTTGTTTTCCCATTTTCATCAAGATAGCGGTCATATTTAAAAGTCTACAATAAAAATACAAAGAAAACAAACCTCTTAGCTAGTTTTAAAGCAACGTACCTCTTTCTTTACCTTGAAGCTCCAAAGAGTAATTTTCTTTTTAAATCAACTCCACTAGTAATTTAGTACATATCCCACATTGAACCAGAAAGTAATAAGGGACAGGAGCTTAACTAGAACTGAGGGAACCGGAAAGTTTTATAATACCTCCTACCATGCCTGGATGATTAGTGTCTCTACTAGGCAGAGCTAGAAAGAAGAGTTCCCATTAGAAACTAGAATAGTCAATAGCCTCCAATTTCCTGGATTTGGGAGTAGGTGTTTTTTAAGGGGGAAAAAGCAACAATCTAGTGAAGACCATGTGATGACAAATATCAGGACTAAAAATTAAAATGTTGGGCCACCATCCAAATTTTACATGATGTATGAATATTTGACATAATTAAGGGAGCAATCCCTATGGCTACAATAGTCTAATCAATTATACAATTATAAATTTCTTCTTTATTTAGATCTGGGTGGTATCACCTGGATATTGAAATTGAATGAGCAATCACTTACCAAAGGATCTGGGTAGATTTCTGGATCTAAGTGCATTAACTGTGGATAAAGAGCTATGATGTCGTCTTTTCGGATGCTATAGGAACCACCCTCAAGGTGCAAAGTGAAATCCTCCTTAGCTGTCCTGATGTTCAGGGAGGCACTGGAAAGTCTCAGAGACTCTTTGATGATACTATCTAAACATTTTTAAAAGAAAGAAAGGGAAAAAAGGAAAGGAAGAAGGAAAGGAAGGGAAGAAGAACAAATCAAGTATTTGAAGGCCATATAGTACATAGTCTGAAATACTTCTGGCAACCTATAACACAAAAATAAACAGACTATGGGAAGCTGATCAGATAAAAATTTCCACGCCTTTTTTCTGTTACCCCTATGCTGTCATTAATAATCAGTTGTGTCTGAATGTATTTTAAAATCTGAACATCTGAGTTAATAATCTTTTGATAAAGATATAATATTCTTGGTCATCAATGGAAAATAAACTTTTATTATTTTATAGAAAAGTAATGTTATTTCTGTATGACATTAAGCACCTAATAAAATTGAAAAAAATCAGTTACTCATTTTTAATTGAGTTATCCAAAGTTTGTCACTTTTTTCGAGATTTAATAAGCTGATAACACTTTCATATCGATGTATTTTTCCAAGTGTTTAATGCAACTTCAATTCAGTATTTACAAGAACCTATTTTTATCCACACACTATCTGATGCTGGATGGTGATGTCCTGCTGCCTGGTGAAGACGTAAAGAGACAAAAAGAACCACCTTGAGAACAACTGAAGTACAGAGATCTCATGAGACGTTCATTCTGGTCCCCCAGCTTTATCCTCCTGCTCTCATGGTTAAAGTGCTCATTACATGATTGTATATTTTTTAAAAAATCAGAGAACATTAACCCTTTATTGTACAAATGAGAGAAGTGACATTTCTGAGATCTCCCAGGTCAGGTCCAATTTAGAACCTAAGCTTCTTGCCTCCTGTGCCTTCTGCTGACACACTGCCCTAAAAGCATAGGTTGGTTTCTTTCCTTAGAGAAAATAACAAAACAACTTTCTTACTATAAGCATTTCATACTTTTATGTTTCCATAAAATATAGAAAAGCAAAACAAAGGAAAAGCAAGCAGGCTTAAATTCCAACACTCAATCCATGCAACTAACTGTGGTTTCTTGATGGTACTTCTCCCCCCCCCCCAACC